GGGAGAGAGGGAGAGAGAGAATTTCACTGTTCTCTCAAGGCCGCCCCGATGGAAACCCGAAATTGTTTCACGAGTCTATTGGGAAACGATCCTCTAACGTCGGCTCCGTCTCCTCCTCCACTTGCGAGGCACTTACGTTTTACAATGCGTATCAACGCGGAGAACGGCCGCGGGCTCTCCGACGTTCGCCATACGAACGACTGCCAGGCCGAACGGTATTCCGTATCAGCCAAATGGCGATATCGCACTGGCGGCCGCCGACGCGCCCCGGAGCGGCTCGCGCTCGTCGTCGCGACGCTGATCGTTCGCCAGAGGAGCGGTACCAGGCAGGCGCACGTCCACGAACGCTGGACGCGCCTCCAGTAACGGCGCAAGCCGCCCCGATTCCGCCTCGGAAAAGTGAATTTCCATTATTACCCGTTTTATCGGCTCGCGACTACCGTCGCGTCCGATATCTCCCGTCCCGTTTCAACGCGCGGCCGAGTAACCGGCGAAGGAAAAGGAATCGGCATCCTGTAGCTTTGGCTTTGACTTAAACTCTTTCAATTTTCTTTTTTTTTTTCTGTAGTACAGAATATAGACCGTATTAGACGGTATTGATTTTTTTATATAGAACATGCGACGCCACCAACAAGAACAGTCGTGTAATATGTCTTTATAGAAAATATACGACGTAGAATACGTACGCGACAATGTAAATTTCTGTGTGCACACTATTGATCGCACGTATGATGATCTTTATTTCGTTTATGTAAGATCTTTATGAGAGACGTACAAAAAATTGTCACATTAATTTGTTTACGTGATCAAAGATCTCAAAAATAATCTTATTACATTAATTGTGCGCTCTTGTTGCTTTTTAAAATATAATGATCTAAAACAAAATTAAAAAAATAACAATTACAAAATTACAAAATTAAATTTAATAACATTATTTAATACACTTATCCTAATATATATATTTTACAAGTATGACAATTTGAATTTTTTAATACAAAATTTGCCTATATATAAGTTCATTTAAATTAGTAAATTGCAATGTTCCTTCCATTACTAGGCAATATTTAATTTCACTTCTCTTCCTCACATTTAAATGGGATGACATAATTGATAAAATTCCTACATCATTGATAAGTAATTTGCAATATTTCTAATTGACAATTTATTTCCAGGAAACTTAATTTAAATCAATTTTTAATTTGAAATTTGATTTTATTCACTCAAAATAAGGAGATTACGTGCTACAACGGTTTCGCATCTTCGGGAAATACGCGTATCGCTTTCTAAAAATATCTCAGAAAAAATATTTCAGAAAAATAATCCTTCAATTACGAGAGAGAGCTTAAAAATTCGGGCCTGCAAATCCAGAGGCACGTCGCGTGGCCCGGTTGGCGTACTCGCGTCCGGCGTCACCAGCCGGATCAATAACGCCCCGTCAGATTCAGCTGAACGTCTGGGGGTACGCAGAGGGTGGCGGGTGGCTCGCATACGAGGAGTAACGGGGCCAGAACCTTGCGGGCGTCGACTAGGTCGACCGACCGAGCCGCGGCAGGGCAAAGGGCAAGGGTGCCGTCTTTGACATTTTTTTTTTTTAGGGAGGGATGATAACTGCGCCCAAATCCCCCGCGTGAGAATTCATCGTCGGAGGGTCACGAACGATGAAGTGGGCGGCTTTATTTCGAAACCCACAACTTGTGGGTGCAATAACTAACAGCTCTTTCGTTCACTCTATCGCGACGATGAGCAGACACATGCCCAGCGATTAATCTAATACACTTGAACACGTTTCATTCCGACGCGTAAAAGAACGCGGCGGAAAATCATTCCCCGCGAGAAAATCCGTCGGAGACAGGAGGTTTTTATGCGGGATTTAGTTTCCGAGAGAAAAATCAAAGATTGATTACTAATACCCTCCTTTTTTTTTCAAGCTTATAAAAAAAAAAATCTAGGAAAAATCTGAAAGAGAAGACTCCGTCGCGTTTATATAAATTTTATTAAATATCATATGAATTATATAATTAATAAATTACGCGATCGTTGAGATAGGAGTATCTTAATACCTGCAGTAACGATCTTACGCTGTGCGAACACCACAGATTAGACGAAATTAGCGAAATCTCGTCCAAGATAAAAGATAATAAATCTCAAGCATGTTCGTGAAAACTTAATGACTCTAAGTTAATGCGGCAGATTTTTATCTGCAAATAAAGAAAGGTTTTCGTGCAAATAATCGACATACCGAAATGCAGACTCGTGAAAAAATTAATAACAAATGCTACGATTAACATTCATAATACTGTAGTGTTCGTTCGTCTTATTAATACTTATACATATATTTAACGACTGCTGCAAGCTTTCGGAGTTCACTTCTCCCTACATCGATTACATTTATTACTGTATAAAATAGACGATCTCAATAACTTTTGCATCGCTCGCTAAAAAGAAAAGTCGCTCCTGCATTATGAGCGATCGTAAACAGCAAAAAGTGACAGCAAGTTAAAGTATCGCTTTTTAATCTAAATGCCAATTTTCAATAGCTTCTACATGTCAAATACATCTCACTGAGATTCACCGAGGGATCTCCGAGAGCTCATTTAACAAAAAATATTAGACTTCGTTGATTCCGATTCTCCTACGTTAGATACAAATATTTTCAAGCTGATTAAATGTCGCAGAATACATCTTTCTCTCGCTCTCCTCTGTACATCTGTTAAGTAATGCCATTTAAGTAACGTCGATCTGGTCGACAGGTGTGTACATAACAAAAAAGTATGAATTTTCGTAAATGTATCTCGAGTACAATTGTCGCAGACACAAATCGGTATCGTTATCATCGACTCTGATGAATCGTATCGCTAATTATTCCTCCGCGCTTTGTACTAATTTCCATCGAAAATCTGATCTATAATTGTATGCAGTATCGAAACGGCACGTACAAAATATTTGCGATATATAAAAGGAATAAATCTCTTTTCTACGCGCGGGTAGATGGGTGCTAGGTACACCATGCATCTGTAGGGTGAGACAAACAAGTTTCATTCCTCGTGCAATCGTAGCCTCGCGGATCTTGCCAGCGATATTCGGATCTTCCGCGAGATCGGCGCGAACTCTGTTAATCCTTCGTTAATCCTCTACGATTTTTTACCACGATTGTTTTAAGTCGTGGTCGCGTGTGGCCAATCGGGAAACCAATGCTATAGCTAATATATATCAGAGGTCGACCGTCGTGTCGGATCCGTGATGATATTCCTCGTCTAACAGCGGCTCTTCCTCCACCGTCATGTGAACTGTAAACAAAACTCGTCATCATGCACACCAACGAATACAAACACGTATATTCAACACATATATTCTAATGCTCCCTATGACATCCTTGATTTCCATTTTCCTTCGTTCATTTGTTTTCTTTTTTCTTTCTTTCCAAAATATTTAAATCTGCGCAATCGAGGACAATCGAGAAATATAGAAACAAAAGTAGTTTGTTCTCGATTTTTTACAAAAGAAGACATGCGGAAGACATTTTTATGCATTTTAGATAATCATTGGACATTTTTCGCTTCCTTTAAATATAAATCATTAAAACTGGTCTCAAGAAAAATAATAATAATAATAATAATAATAATAATAAAAATCAAAGAACAAAGAATGAAAGAACAAAAATTTTTTTTGATTTCTATTTTTCTCGATGTCAATACATTATTCTATGAAAAAAATTATATCGACGTGAACATATAAGAATTCTATTTAAATTTCTCTCTAAATTAAATACATGCCGAAAAGAAAAAATATATTGTTTCTTTTTTTATGCCATATTCTTCTTAAAATCTTTCTTAAAATTAATTATTAATTAATTATCTTTCTTAAAATGTTATCAATATCTGTTCTAACATATCGTTTATCTTCTACTAATAAAAAATGTTTATTTCTTCTAAAGAAGTATAGAAATTTTATACCATTAGTATTTGATTTAATTAAAATTTTTCATATATTTAGAATTTTTAACAATTTAAAGACAAAATCCAAGCAGCAGGCAGAAAAACATGCACAGTAATTCTGATGTACAATATCCTGCAAAAATGAAAAGCAAAACCTTTCATGCACTTTTATGCGAGGAAGATAATTCGCCATTTATATTGATATCTATAGATCTCTTAAAAACTTAAAAAAGAATATCCTGAAATATTAATATATTAATAATTAACTATTATTATTTTACTGAAAAACTTGGTTTTTTTTAAGTATATTTATCAATGTGATACAATAATCATACTTCACACTTAATCTTTTTATTGCATATAAAAAGATTCTTAACTTTTGTCTAAAACAGTAAATAGTTGTCTATGAAATAGTATATAATAGTTAGTATTGCACATTTTATATTGATTAAAACTGCGAAAACTTTTAATTTATATCTTTTATCTATTTTTTGAGCAGGTTTTTTTTCTTTCTTTATCGAACAGATAGATAAGATTTAATCTATTTAAACATAGCAAATTATACATTAATTTTTATTTAACAATTGTATAATTAAACTAAAGCTTATCTTGAGATAAGCATGAAAAGATTAGCACATGCAGATAAAAAATGCCAAAAACTATAATAAGTTTTACTAACATGCATAAAATACATAAACGAGCCAAAATAATATTGATGTATATAAATTTACAAGAATAATAATGCATTTTCATAATATTTTTATATTAATCATAACACAGATTCCTACATTAGTCACATTACCTTCCCAATTACATTTTAAGCTATTTTTGCATAACAAATTAAAGCATAAGCATGCAGATTATCTGCGCATGCGCGATATCCTACATAATATTTTTATAAAATTCTATCATTACTAACTGTTTTCATCCAAAGACAAAGTGTACAATTTTTTTAGTGTATAAAATTTTTTGCTGTTGATACATTTCCATCGAATAAATCTATCTTCTTTTGTTACAAATAACAATTTTTATAAAATAGCGAACAGCAGAAAATTATTAGAGAGATTTAAACATATTAATTTTTCCCCAAAAGAAAAAGTTTCCTTCTCTAAAGACCGGTTAAATCAGAAAAAAAATAGTACATTATAATAAACTTATTTATCCAGAAGATATAATACAGTTTTGAAAGGAAATTTAAGATATAATACAATTGAATAAAATTACATTTCATTCAGTATAACATTTATATGTACAGCACCGTCTTCAAAAAAATATAATTAGTTAGAATAATCATCTATTACTTGATCTACTCATAGCAATAATGTAATCAATTCCTTTAAATTTTGGAATTGGTATTAATATATTAATTATTAATAGAAATATATAAAGAGAATTCCAATAAATATTACATTTTAAAGAAAAGCTATCGCAGTTCAACTATCTCGTCAATATGAAAATGTTCTTCTTTTGTTATATTTTTTTAGAACATATTTTTTTTTTAAGAATATGTAATACAATAGAAAAATTATGAACAGTAACACTTCAAATATTTATACATCAAGGTTTTGCATTTTACATTTAATTCAATTATTATAAAAATTCATTATCAATTATTCATTACTTATCAAGAGGAAATATTTTAATCTAACAAAATTACATGTAATATAATATACAAATAAGAATTTAAGCATGTATCTGCCATTTGCTTGTAATATTTCATGTAAAATATACATAGAAGTATGTATTTAAAATACACTTCTCACAGAATATATGTATGACACTTATGTAAAGACTCTCTTAATAAAGTGTTCGTCTTAATTGTATCTATTGTCGTGTCTATTGACGTACAAGTAAACAAACATACCTAATGCAAAGCCAAAATTTTAATCTCTTCATGTTCTAATACGTCCTCGCATAATTCAATTTATTGTATTTTCATTAAAAACGTTTCTTGTTCTCAAATACACGGGCACACGCGCAAAAGCAGAAATAGAAAACGCTCATGACGCATTCCACATGATCAAAGACTGTACATTTCAAACTGAAATTCATACAGTTTGTTATATTTGATAAACATCACACTTAAAATAAATTCTTTTTTATATGTTGCATATATTTTAACGGATATAAATATTAAATTCAATTTAGAAATTAAAATTTTTGACAAAATAATGTAAAGAATATTCAGAGCTCTTTAAGAATATTAAATTGGCATCAAATTGTTATTAAATTATACAGAGGAATTATCATAAATGTCATTAAGAATCAATCTTTGGTTTAGTATTTTGAAAACAATTTTAAATATCGATTCTCGAAAAACTCACTTCTTTATGAAAGATGAAGATTTTTTGATTTTGAACATTTGATATATAATTTCTATTATGTTGCAAACGTCCTATGACAATGAACGAGATATACCGAAAACGGAAATCGATATTTAAAAATTTAATGCAATTCATATCAAATTCATACAAATTAATATATATATGTATATATATATA